TTAGCAGGTGTATATAAGCAATCGTGCAACATACTATTCGGCATGTAATCAACAACGATGTTGGAGGTCATATTAAAATGATCAATCATTGACTTGTTAATATCCGCTTTCAAGCTAGTAAGATCATCACATGTGATACAAATTGTATGCACCAAAAATTCATTGTCTATGCATTCCTCACCAATCAAATTAAAAATAAGTTTAGGCGCATAAACACTTTTCAGAGAAAGCAAACATATGATTTCAGCTATTTTAGTTCTCGCATGTGACAAACTCATAGGTGGATCCATCAAAATAGAATACAAAGAATTAGCGTGAGAAATTCTAGCTAATATTTCCTCATGATTAACCAATTGTATGTGACCCAAATCAGATTTAACAATCAAGTCACACGGGTCAATCTCAATCGCCTTTAGTTCAGTGGGTAAACTTAAATGAGCAAGATGATCATCCAAAATAGGTGGTGTGACTAAATCAGTACCTTCGTTATTACCTTGTAGTCCTCGCTCATATGAAGTAAGAACGGTCGGTGGCGATGCCTCGTAAACTCCATGTGACACAATCATCGTTGGCGGTGCGGCGGAGGAAGTAACCTTCTTTGATGGGGATTCCATCGCACGCTTGATCGTCGTGTATATGCGTCCTCTTAATTTCTGTTCAGCTTTACACGCAAGACGAAACAAATGGTTGACAGAATATAGTTCTTCATGCATTAGTATGTCTTTTATATCATGGTTTAAACCTCTCCAAAATCTATTCAGGAATTCTTCTTCACATTCTTCTAAGCCACAACGAAACAAAGCAGTACACAAATTATCGTAATATTCTTCAACAGTGTTATTGCCTTGTGCCAAGCGTTGCAATTTTCTAAGCAAATCACTATCATGGTATGAAGGAACAAATCGGTTTCGCATAACAAGTTTTAAAGCTTTCCAAGTGGTAGGTCTATTACAAATATTTTCCTTGCAATAATTTCTCCACCAAACTGAAGCAAAACCGAAAAAGCTTTTAGTGACATCATTTATTTTCTTATGCTCAGAAAAATCACGGCTACCAAATATTTCTTCTACCTCAATTTCCCAATCAATATATGAATCAGGGTCATATTTACCCTCGAAATTTAGCAAAGAGGTAACCTGATGATGTGTGTTTCTACCATGATGCTGATCATGTGACAGTCGGTGTACCTTCTGTGGTGGGTAAGAGTGATCTATACCAAAATGTGGCAAGGCATCTCCCAGAATAGATGCAACCCAACCGTTGACCGTTCTAGAATCTGCCATGGTTAGTACCACACAAAAACAAAATCACAAGTATAATGTTCCTATGGTACTACTCGGAGGTGGTGGGAAAAATTCTCTCAACACTCTAGCAATTACCAAGCTCTTACCAGTTTTTACCGTGTTGCAGTGGTTGTCAGCCGTTGGCGATGTCAAAAGCGATCAAAAGATTGATATAGCGATTACCAAGTGACTGAACAAGGTGCAATATAGAAAGTGGAGCTTGGTGAAGGTTTTCTCAACTCACAATATGTGGCACAATTAAGCAAAAAATAATGCAAGCTGAATAATTGTTCAAACTCCTAACTAGTGCTGGCAGTCGACTAGTAAGAGATAAAACAATCTAAGCCTAGATACTGAATCAAGGGAGGAAACCGATAAAAATATGATAGCTCTAAATAGCTAGATATAAGTGAGGTATAAACGTAGTGTAGGCGCAACCAAGAACAGAAAATGTCCAGCAACTATTACTTATATGAACAGAGTAAAAGTTCAGGACAATAAAAGATCGTATCCAAAAATTGTACCGGGCCTGAACTTGGCAAAATCTTTTTTCTCCTTTTTTTTGCTTCTTTTTTTCTGTTTTTGTTTTCACTTTTTTTTTCTGTCTTTCCTTTTTTTTGCTCTTTTTTTTCTCAGATTAGTTACGAAAGATATACAGAAGAACTAAGAGAACAGGAGCGAATCAAAGTGCTACTGAAAGCGACCGAGGTGTACCACTAGAGATAAGAAATCAATCAGATGCGTGAGTAGCCAACTCCCACGTGCAATAGTAGTACAACAAAGCACAAATCAAATACTGCAGAGGTGCTACTATGAGTGGATAGCAAAGGAAACAACGGTGCTGGTTGGGTACTGCGCCAAGCAGATGGTCAGGCGGACAGGCGAACAGCGGCAGGCGGCAGGCAGATGGATTGCATGGACACTAACCAAAGAAAATCTACGGACAAACGGCAAGAGTTGGAAACCGATGCAATCTTGCACTTTTTTTTTTAGTTAATCTTTCCAGAGCACGGACGAACCTGCGGCGGATTTTCTTACATACAAAAACAAGTTTGATCTAGTAGACAAATTTTCTCTCAAACTAATCTAAACCAGCACTATTTCTAGGATGTATCCAACCAAAAATTCAACTATGCAAATACTAGATGCAAAAATTGCTAAAGGCTAAAAAGGTGGGTATAATGGATGAACTAATTTATTTTTTGGCTTTTTGTGGGTTATAGGACAGAAAATAAGCTAATCTAATAAAACTGTAAATCTCTCACCGAGAAACCTGAAAACTGATACCACTTGATGTGACGGCGGCCCGATTTTTCGATGAGAGTGGGGATAACTATCGATTTGGTGGATTTTGACCTTGACGATCCGGCTATACCGTACCCGATGATACGCCTCGACAATCGCTAAACCAATATCCGATGGTTATTGACCTTGCCGTAGGCACGATCAACCTGAACAACGAGGTTCGAGTTCCTGCAAATAACCGAAGAACCAGCAAGAACAAAGGTGAATTGCAACTGAATTTGCGGATGATAACTTGAGTATACAAACTAGATGAAAAGTTAGGGTTTCAATGTGGATCTGACAAGGCGGTAGTGCTACACGTCTCGTAGATGCGAATTATAGCAACAACTAGACAATACAATAAAACCCGAGTTAAACCCTAGACCGGCTATTACTATTTATTGAAATGCAAAGGAGCGTGCAGCGGCCTCGATGTGTCACCCTGGCTGATGGAAAACGTGGCTGACACGTTGTCATGAGGAGGCCCACTTCGTTTCCTTGATTCCCTTTTGAACTTGTGATAGAAAAAAAATCAATTAAGATTCACCGTGTGGTTGCTACACACATGGGCCTTGCATTGAACGCATGCAAAGACATGCGCATGCATGTATGTGTTCCAATGCTCACGATGCTCGTGGCTGCTCCTGGTGACTACACGAGGCTCACTTTGCTTGGATAATTGACATCACTTTTTCCTTGTGTATCTGTAGAATTTATTTGACCGATCTCCGCATTTTCACACGAGGCTTCTACAAGTCTTCGACATTTCTACATAAGATAGAAGATTGTGTCGTATATCCGTTCCGGAAAATAAAATAATAATTCATATAATTTGTATTAGAATTCACCTGATAATTATCTTTACGCATAACAACTATGGTTATATCCGTCGGGTCTATGTCCATATCAAATAGGACTCCTCCGGCTAAGTGGGGGGCGGCGGTGACCGCTTGCGCGTGGGAGTTGGCTCGCGCTCCGGCTCAGACTTGAGTTCGACAAGGGGCAACGCCGACGGCGGTGGCGGCACGGACATGGGCACCTGAACAGAGTCCTCCGCCGCGGACAAAGCAAGGACTTGCTCCAACCCATCCCAATGGGCGTCCGTCTCAAGCCGGCTCGCCTCCCGCGCGTGTTGCAGGGCCTCCTCGAGGGCGATTGGTATTCCGCCTCCGCCTCCTCTTCTTCCGGCTCTACCCGCAGGGGCGACGGTGGAAGGTCGTGGTGGATGTGGACGCCGAGCCACCGTTGCTCCTCGTGTTCGAGGGCAAACCAGGCCTCTCAGTTGGGAGAGTCTGCAGCGTACTCGAGCATCCGCAGTTGTATCGACGTGAGCTGCGCCCGGCGCCTGCGCAACTCCTCGTCGTGCGACCGCGTGTCCCCGAAACCGCCGACATCGGGATACGCTGCGGATTGAGGTGCCAGTGATGTGGCAACGTCACATCGGGGTGTGGCAGCGGCTGTCTGTACTCCCAGTGCCACCATACTTGGTGTATCGGGATGTGCAAACGTTGCCTACCTGAGCGGGCACGCACCGGCGGCGAAGGAGGAGGGGGAGGAGGAGCACGGGAGGATAAGGCGCCGGGGGAGCCCTTGCCCTTGTTGCTGTCGGAGCTGCTGCCGAAGAGGCCCATGGCTAGAGTTTGGGTTGTCGCCG